TGGTAATAAGATTATGATAATTATACTCGGGACCCATGGTACTGTCATAGCGACTGATTTACGACACCCATTGTCTGAAGAACATTTAACTGCAAAGGCTCATTACCCTGGAGCCATGACATCTATATGCCTCGAAACACTTATTTGCTGTTATTTATAAGATGCTAATCCTAATTGTAAATCCCCGTTTTTTGTGTACATAGACCGTCTGCCATCCTGATCGAAATGTGCAAGTATGTCACTGATGAATTACTGTTTACATTTATATTTATTACTTACAAAATGTCAGGTGACCGTGGCTATATAAGCCATGGTCCAGAGAGATTGAGAAGGAGGGAGAGGAAAGAAAGGTCTTACCCTTAGCCTAGCTAGGGTTAGGCTGGGTGCTCCGGGGCACCTAGACAACAACGACTACCACTATGTGCTGACCTGGCACATAGTGTCTTCTGTATGTATATATCTACATGTATAAAGTAAAACTGTATATACCATCGTCTCCAAGTTGTCACTTCCTACTGAGAACCATATGTGATTTCTGGTAGTTCACGTGGGACACGCCTCTTAGCGGCTGTCGATTAATGCAAATCAGTAACCAGGAAGTGCTCGCTTCGTAGACAATTTCAAATTTCCTCGGAATGTTCCGTCTGCTGTAAGTAAGGAGTTATTAACGCAATGATACTTACTTCTGGCATCTTTTTTAATATTGCCTTACCCCCATCTATCAATGGACAACGATTTAACCCACAGTTTTCGAAGTAAACTTTCTCTATTGACCTGAACTAGATCATATGCATATTCATGGCGACTAATTGCACATTTTTTCCCACTCTGTGGCTAGAACCTATTAGAAGATCATTAGGGCCATAATGCCATAATTAGAAATACGTTCTTCACTAGTAGCCAAATGATAAATACATACTATATAGGAGTGCTTTTTTTGTATATTTATTGTATATTTATTGTTAACTTTTAACACATTTTTCATTTTTTGGACAAATTATTGTCATCCAATTTTTTAAACAAAAATCTTTAACATCATTTCTGATATTTTGTTGTTAATTTCTAAAAAATATGTTTTTCTTACTTATCGGTAAATATGCATTGAATACCTATTACTGATAACACATTCAGAATTTTGACCTACCTTTAGAATACAGCACCACAAACTTTTCAAACACATGACAATAACCTATGACGTAATTTGTAGTATTTTGTTACCAGTCACACCGGCGAAACAATGCCCTGTGACGTCTTGGGTCATCGAGTGTGCATAAGCTCCCCCCAGTGATCCATCATCTCTACACGCAATGTCATTGAATATGCCTGCCGATGTTGAGAGTTTTGAATATTTGTTCACTAAATATAGCCTGCATCGGCGCATTTTATAGCAAGCGCTAGTTTATGAAAGCACTTTTATTTTCAATATATTTTTTATTTCGTGTTTTTCGTAATTCAAGTGGCTAAAATTATGATAAATGGGACCTAATACACATATATTATTTTTGGTTTAATAAATTATCATTATTATGCACAGGAAAGCAGTTTATTAGGTAATATTATATATTGGCGCTGAACACATCCAAATGTCGCTGGTGTTAGGGTAGTTACCCCTAACTCTATCCTTAGCCTTTGGATCCCCATTACAATCAATCACCCCTTTACGATCATTAGGGTTAGGTACCCGTTTAGTGGCTTGTAGAATTGATTCTATAGTTTCTCCTAATATTCTCCATACCAAAATGTCGAGAGAGAAAAAGGGATGAAATGGTTTAGTGTCGAATATTTTGGCTATTGGGAACTGTCCTGGAACATTCACACAAGTCACTTTCACCCGCTACATTTATTCAGTACTGATTTAAAAGCAAACTCACCCTTGTGTCGTCACTAGCCATGCCTCCCTCATTCCTTACTATTATCCACATTATCCTTACAGTGTTCCCTACCACACTTTTCTGTCACAAAAATCACCCGACGAATTGTGTACTCGCAAGTTCGACGTCTGATGCCAAGAGCCGCTCCTCACCACTCGGTATCTTGCAGAATACGGAATGGGACAAGTGTGCCAAATGGCATAGGGATCACTCATAAGTGTCCGTAGACTAGAGTCAGTTCTCCGAATATCGTACACTTTTGGTCGCCAGTCTCAACCACCATTTTTGTATGCAGATACTGTGTCATGGGGCATACCAGACGAAAGGTTATCCAATCATCTTGCCACCCCATTAAACCGGTTGTACATTCCGATTTCCGTTTTGACCACACGTTCAGTCAAAGGAGGCTAATAACGATCACTTAAATTCGTACAGTGTGACTGTAATATCGTACGCAATTTCTTCTAATATCGTACATGTATTTTAATTCTGTACAGCACCTGAATGGTACTCCCGTATCTGTTATTTCTTATGAAAATTTGTATACATTGTTTGAATCAAAATTTGAAATATCGCACGAAAGGAAATGCTAAGGTTCAAAAACTATATTAATATATAGATCTATATCCCATTATTATTAATCATTAGTAGAATTTATTAATTTATTAATTTATTAATAAACTCCAGGGCCTGCTTAGAGTACTGGCGTCTTTTTCCCATCTAAAATATTAAACACAAAACTACCTTTATAAATTTTAATACTGCCCCGTTTGAATCAAAGAACGAACAAGTTGGAGCATTGATGAAGTCCATTTTTTTCGAAATATTCGAGAACACGTCTTGCCAAAAATGTGGCAGACACAGGGTCGTTTATTTTTTTCCGATAAGCCATGCAGAACAAGACAAACAACGTTTGCCACTGCAGACCCTCATTTGGGATGATCTAAGGATTTCTGTAGCAAACCAATTATTATTTCAGCTTAATTTTCAAAATAAACATCATCCAGAGTTAGGGTGTTTATAGTTGAACGTGCGACCGCGATCACTATTTCACGTCCGCTTCCAAATATTTCACGGCGCTGAACGGATTTTGAAAGTGCCATTTTCTGTAAAGTTGACAGAAAACGTATAAACAGCTGAATAATTGTAATTAAGACAGACATATCTTTGTATTGGGTTAAAAAGTATTCCTAATGTTTTATTAGCTACAGTATGAATAATACAGTTGTACCTCGCTGATACCAATTGTTTTACTGATTTTGCTCATCAGTTATCAATACTTACACAGTCAACACTTATTAGATAGAGTTTCGGTGTTGACTAGAAGTTTTCTACATGTTTCTTTAGTCGTTAGGCCATCTATGTTATTTTATGTGGTTGTCATCTCCAACCTCAACCAACAAGGAAGCGGGCGGGCGAAAAAGAAAGAAAAAGAAATGCTTTTCACTAATTTTTAACATATTCTACCTTGGTACCATCAAATTAATTTTGGACGTATTTCCAGGTTGGTTTTTTTTCGGAAACAACTTTTTAATACACGTAGTTGAAGAAAGATCTTGGCATTTTATGAATGTGCAATGATGGTGGTACTTTTGTTATTACGTCGGGGCAAAATTAATACAGACAGCCTGACAATGTTTGTAGTATCTTTTTGTAATATATCTTAAAACATGTACAGTTACTAGGTGTATAGTCTTTGTGTTGTCGTTTTACTTTAAGGCTGCGTAGTAATGTGGCACTGGACGCGTGATAAGAGATAAACAATGTTTTCGGATAGATCTAAATGAAAACAGGGATAAGGTGTGCTGATGTCTGTTACTTAATATTTCATATAAATAAGCTTATGACAGTGAGCGACTACTTCAAAATGGACTTCAACAATGACCATACACTAAGGTGACAATATATATTCTTTTTGTCATTTTAATTTGTTTATCAATACTTATTCCTGTGTTTCATAAGAGGGTATATCAAATGGAAAATTGAAAATTTCACTGTACAAAATTAGAAGCATAGAAAAATATTATAATAATTTGGGCATCAAATATCGTATGTCCCACATTTTGTTCATTTTGAAAATAACTTTTATGAAACCTATTAATAATTTTCAATATGAAATGTTTATGGCAGCTGATATGCATTATTTCGTGTTTCCGTACCGTTCGTGCTTTTTAAATTTACCGCAATGACCTGTCACATGTAGAGGTTGGAAATGGAGAAATGGAGAGAAACGCTTCTGCGCAAGTGCACTTCACGATAACCAATCATATCTCGTAAGAGAAAACGCATGACAAATACACGTGATAGCTGAAAATAGAGTTGGGGATTACCACATTTCAACCAACGAAAGTAGTTTGACGCCGCATGAAAGCATTGAAAGCAATCAAAGAAACATCAAAGTGTACGGAACTTAGGAGCCTGTACGATATTCGGAGACCTGACTCTAAAGTCACGAGACACCATGCCTACCCGTAACCTACGTAAGTGTCCGTCACCTATTTGCCCCTTTTCGTTTAGTTCCGTAAAGGCGTAAGCATGACTAGGTAAATTTGCACTTAATTTCACAGTGTGGACGTAGCTCACTTTGTTAGTTGTCGAGCTAACAATCCAAAGGTCGCGAGTTCACGTTGATGGATTCTCACAAAAACTGGTTGCTTGTCTTTGAGACCTACGGCAGAGACCGTCCTCACGAGAAGTTGTGGTACTGTATTCTAAACATCAGTGTTAGAAATTGGCACAAGGCCTGTAGTCCTTGCCAAACTGTAATTTGCCATTATTAAGGGTTTTTCTATACGTTATCATCATAAGGACTAGTGAACTGAAACTATTAGTTTCTACTGCTGATGGAGCTCCACAAATTATCTGGTAGTACAGCTATATCAACTTTTAGAGTCAGAAACCGACGGGAAATATGTTTCAAAAATTTCAGAAAAATACGAGGGTAATCGGCCACCACATTCTGATTAGGATTTATGAAGGTGGTGTTCTCGGCCGTGATGTAGGGTCATGTCTTTACTGTCATGACTGTAAGACCCAATCGCGGCTCTCGGCTGTAGCCTAACATGATAACTTTAGCATGTAGGTATATGACTTTGTTAGGCATAGACAAAGTCTTAAAACAAAGGATATGTTTAGCTTCCTTCGGTAACGTTGTTTTCAAACGCATCTTCTTCTCTTTCAATTTACCTTTACAATAACTTGCCGGTTTACTTCCACACGAATCCTTCGGTAAACTCTGCTCCCAGTTAACCACAACGAGAACTTAGGTATGTGTAAGAGCGCATGCGTACAAAATACCCTTTGTCGTCAACTACATTTACTGAAGGGTGTTTATGAGAAAGGTGTTGTTCAGTTGTTGAGTATAATATTTTCCGATATACAAAATTAAATAATGACGTTGAAATACCAATTTATGAATATTTTTAAGATTTAAATATACAAGAAAGATTACCGTGCTAGCTTATGTTTACATATAGGAACATTAGTTTTACTCACGGTAGTATGTTCTTTACCGGAAGTGTTTATAATACAACGGAAGTTATCAACTTTGTTTACAGTGGATACGAACGAAAAGAAAGAGCTGCTGATTATCAAAATATTCCAGGTTAATTATCATTTCAAGTTACTTCTGTTGGTATGTTTGGTCATGTTGGTTTATGTGGGATAAACAAGATATATTTCTACAAGTACAGATAAATAATCTTAATTCAAACTATCTCTATGCTTTTTTTGTGGTGTTTGTTTCAGACCTGTGAGGTAACTTTTATTTACGAGTGGCCCCGATACCATTTATCACACTGGTTCAGTTCCGTAATCAACAAGATACCAAGTGGTGTGGAATCCCGACATCAGACGTTGAAGTCTTCATTACCAGGATATAAATAAGCTATTGTTAAATGAATGGGAGTGAAGTTGAGACATGTTGTAAATGGGACCCGAAGCCAACAAATCTTTCAGTAAAGATTTGACTTCAATAAGGGTTTTTTCATTTATGGAGGTATAAACGTGAAAAAAACCCAACTGTTTTGCACACATTTTTACTTTCAGAACTCCATAATGGAATCTATTCTTTTAAACAAATAGGTCAAAAGTAATAACTTTACTGACTGCTTCAAGTCAAGTAAAGTCAACATAGCAATTTTGCAGGTTATGATACTTTAGGGCATAGATTTACTTAATCCCATATGCTTGACCCCCCATCTTCCCCAATTCGAAAACTTCTGCTAGTAAGGGGATTTCTGGGGTTAAAACAGGTTCCCACTGCTGGACACACTGTGCAATATCAATGACAATGCCAGCGCCGAGTCTGCTTGTCGGTTGACTAGGGGTCTTCCTTCTTGTCCAGCACCTGTTTTTATAGGAACATATCCACCTGAGTGTGGTGATTGGTAAGACAACAGCAGATTAAGGGGGACATCTCAAATATGACACAACTAATTGGTGAATATCTCACAAAATATATTAAATAAACTAACTGTTTAACTAAATTCACTTACACAGAGTGAAAATGTTTAAAATATATATCAATGAGTGAGTGAACATATTATCATTTAGTATATTTGGTCCAAATTATCATCCTATTTTATTTGTCAAGTGTTGTTTATTTCTGTTCATTTTATAATAAAACCCTTCTCTGTAGGTACAGTGTGTATAGAATAATTGTGTCAATGCACAAGTGGAAAATAAGCACCTTAACATGATGATACTGCAAAAACAGTATGTAAATGTGGTGGTATGCTGACTGCTGTGTCCATGTCTTTGCTGTGCTCGGCTTTTGTCGTTTGTGGACTTGCATATCGCACATGAGTAGTATAGGTAATGGGGGTTCTGCCGCAACTCCACTGGAGCCGGATTCATATACCTATACTGCTACTACAGATGGAATTTTGTATGCCAAAATGATGATGCAATTCAACGATAGTCATGAGATTAAGTTAAATTGGCTCTAGCTCACCAATACCTGGGGCCAATCATTGCTTTAGATGAGCCTAAATGGTAATTAAAATATTCTTCATTATTTTTATCGATAAAACGATATTCAACATTTTTATTAAGTTCTTCGTTCATTTTACTAGGAGACCAGACTATATAACTACACTCTTCTTGTAAATTGATAAGAAACAATTGATAACCGTATTTGGTTGGTTTGACATCACTGATCTAATAAAAACCTTGTGGTAATTCTCTCCATTTAATAGCTTTCTCCATTATTATATATATTTATGTAAGCATTTGTCTAAATGTGATCAAACGATAGTAAACAATCTATTTTTAATCTCCAACCAGTTCTTTGGTTTTGGCACGGAATAATTGACGTGCTTGTTGTCTCCCCTGTTCTATGAACTTTTTTTTCTCGTCCTCGCTAATACCACTGGTCTTACGAGATTTTGATCGAATCTTCTGCTTCATTTCATTGTATTTGGTGAGTTCCGACAGCACTAAACGAAACTCATCCTCGGATATCTTACAATCGACCATTGCTGTTGAAATATGATCCTCAATGCTGTTCAACTTTGCTTCGGCGAGTATCCGAATACTATCGTGTTTTAATGCTTTCTTTTGTAACCTACGAGAAATGAATTTTATCGATATTCCTGCCAGTCCCGAGACTCCAGCGGCTATTTCCATACCGAGCACGATAGGTGCGGCGATTATAGTTGATAGTAAACCGACACCGGCTACACCGAGTCCCATGCCAGATACTAAAAGCGCGGTGTCAACTCCGTCCAGAGCATTCACGGCTCTGCGATACTTTTTATACAATCCAAGTCTCAACTCCATATCCTTCTCTATTCAATGTTTTATGTCGCTTATTTGATGTAATCGAAATCCATCAACAGTATCCATCTTTTCAAATGCTTCATCGAGCGCTGGATATAAACTCATAGTGTATATTACGATCATATGATAGTCTTTAATTGGTCTTGCTTAAATGTTTTGAGACTATACATCAGCCTTATCAAATGTATATTATACGGCAAGAATATCTTAGAAAGAGAAATGCTGTCACTTTTAATAATTTGGACCCCCTCGAGGCTTGCAACGGGTGATGCTCCGATATGAATAATACTGCAACGTCGACGTTGGTGTTTCTTTAGCCATTTAATCGATAGACCTGGTAATATTTCGAAGGCATTTTCCGGTGCATCTCCGAACAAGACTTCAATAATAAGCGTAGAAATATTAGGTATTGCACTCAAGTTAACTTTAATATCATCGAATTCAGTAACCAAATTTAAACTAACGTTTTGGATTGCCGGACGACTAAATAACATATGACCTGGGTTTTCTGGCAGGGGGGTGACTAACACACTTTTTCGTTTTGACGGGATATAAGCCGCGAGTACGATGCCACTATTTATTATCTTAGTTAAATTATGTCCCTTACCCATCATCACATAAGGTGGGGTAATGACGATATTCAGTAGCCACTCGATGTTTGCTTCGACCATAGTCCATTTATTCTCGCCGTTGAGAATAATATTGTACGAAGTGTTTTTAATGAGTCTACTAACTTCGACTACGCTTAAATCTTCTAGATTACCCGTGAATGTGACTTCTTTCCGCTTGTATACATTATCGTGTAAGTGTAAAGCGTATAACTTACCATTGTTACCGGGTTTATCAAATCCTTCTGTGTCTCCGAGATCGGAAAGCGCAATTGTATTACATTGTCTGAGCGTTCCAGGGCCTGATGCATCAACCATTATTTTTAATATGGAGTGTTACACTTAAGTATCCTATATCAGGGATGTGAAATCTCCGCGGAAACGCGGAAAATCACGTTTTTTAAAACATTAGTCTTCGGGAAAAATCATCTTCCGCGTAAAATTGTATATGTTGTATTAATGTCTTATGTTTGCAATGGAGTTTTGTTTTTTTCATCAAAAGGTAAGTACAAGGTAGGTTTTTTTCAATATGCTTCAACATGGGGAAAGGGGCAGACATTGCACGCTTGTGACAGTTGTCCTTGTGTCTGGGGGATGGGGGTTGAAGTTTATGGCAGTATTGCTCCCAGACCTGGCGGGTAGCCAGGTGTGCGGAATCTATGCCCGATTTTTTAAAAGTACTGATTTAACTTCGAAATTTTACTGCATCTGCCATCTTGTTTATTTGACTTATTGACTTATTCACTTTTGCCTTTGACTTATTACATTTCTTGGTGTGAATGTTGTCCAAACTGCACGAAATTGCTTTAAATGCAATCAAATGCTTTAAAAATTTCAGGGGGGGCATGCCCCCAGACCTCCCTAGACTTTTCCTCTTTTTTCAGGAAAACATACTCACATCCCTGCTATATGTACAGGTTGGTGTTTTACATCTAATACAGAAATTTTGAGGTCTGAAATAATACCACGCTTCAATTTTTTATATTGTAATGACGAGAAAGATTCCGTTCTACCGCTATTGTATTTTTCATTTTTCACTGGAACACATCTGAGTAGAGTTGAAGGACTTTCTAGTTGAATATTATTTGTCGTACTGATTTGATCAAGATGGATACACAACTCTTTATAGGGAACTAAATCGGGTAATTTAACATCCTGATGTATGCCAATTAAGCGACTAAATTCCCATGTAGCTGATTGTTCCAATAAAATTATATTTGGATTTCCAGTGTCTAATTTCACTGTCCCAGTCGCCTCATTTTGTGTGAGACTAGCTCCATTAGGCTTAAAAATTTCATCATTCAGTGAGCTTACGCTGTAATACCCATCAGGTATAGTAAAGGATTTGCCAGTACCAGATGTAGTTAATAACCATATCTTTGTAGCATTTATATTGGTCCACCGTGGGTAATATGTTACATCGCATAGAGCGACTTCGAGCTGACCATCCGAGGTATCGATAGTACGAAGCAGTTCAATAGACTGACCATTTGTTATTCCCAGGAGTGTAACATACATATCAAATATACAATGATACTATATCATAACTTAAATATGGAATCAACCATTATTTATGATATGGAGTGTTACACTTAAGTATCCTATATGTACAGGTTGGTGTTTTACATCTAATACAGAAATTTTGAGGTCTGAAATAATACCCCGCTTTAATTTTTTATATTGTAATGTTGAGAAAGATTCCGTTCTACCGCTATTGTATTTTTCATCTTTAACTGGAACACATCTGAGTAGAGTTGAAGGACTTTCTTGTTGAATATTATCCGTCGTACTGATCTGATCAAGATGGATGCACAACTCTTTATAGGGAACTAAATCAGGTAAATCGAGTCCCTGATCTGATGTCTTGAGTACTGTTATTTCT